TAACAACTAGTTTGAATTTTGAGCTTGAGTAACTTGATGTTAAAACTGTATTTTTGCATGGTGATTTACAAGAAGACATTTATATGAATCAGCCTAAGAGTTTTGAAGTGAAAGGGAAAGAGCACTTAGTTTACAAATTGAAGAAAAGCTTGTATGGCTTGAAACAAGCTCCATAAAAATGGTACAAAAAGTTTGATTCTTTTATGGTGAGTCTTAGCTATAAAAGAATAGCAGTGAATTCTTGTGTGTATGTTAAATAATTCTCTAATGGTAACTTCATTATCTTATTATTATATGTTGATAATATGTTAATTGTAGGACAAGATGCTAGTATGATTTACAGGTTGAAAGAACAATTGTCTAAGTCTTTTGATATGAAGGATTTAGGTCCAGCAAAGCAGATTCTTGGTATAGACATTATCCGAGATAGGAGAGCTGGAAAGCTGTGGTTGTCGCAGGGAAAGTATGTTGAACGAGTGCTTGGTAGATTCAATATACAACATGCTAAATCAGTTAGCAATCCACTTGTCAACCATTTTTATCTAAGTAAAAAATCTTGTCCAGTGTCTAAGGAAGAGCAACTAACTATGTCTAGTATTTCTTATTCTTCTGCAGTCGATTCTTTAATGTATCTTATTGTTTGTATAAAGCTTGATATTGTTCATGCAGTTGGTGTAGTGAGTTCTAATCCAGGAAAGGTTCATTGGGAAGCAATGAAATGAATTTTTAGATATTTGAGGGGTACCTTAAAAATATGCTTGACTTATGGAGTTTCACAATCAGTTTTAGAAGGATTTATTGATACTGACATGACAAGTGATCTTGATGGTAGGAAATCTACTTCAGGGTATTTGTTCACTTTTGCAGGAGGAGTTGTATCTTGGTAATTTAAGTTACAGAAGTGTGTTGCTTTGTCAACTACAGAGACTGAGTATATTATAGCAACTGAAGCATATAAAGAAATGCTTTGGATGAAACGTTTTCTTCTTGAATTGGGGTTGAATCAGAAAGAGTATGTGATATTTTGTGATAGCCAAAGTGCTTTAGATTTGAGTAAGAATACCATGTACCATGTTAAAACAAAGTACATTGATGTTAGATATCATTAGTTACGTTCAGTGATTGAAGAACAGCAAATGTTATTGAAAAAAATCTATACTGATAAGAATGTAGCAGATATATTGACTAAGATATTTTCCAGAAAAAAGCTTGATCTTTGTAGTAACTTAGCCGAAATGAGTTCCCTGGCCGAGGTAAGTTCTAAATGAAATTGCTATGGTGATGAATCTCTTCCTAATGGGACTGGAAGGGGAGATTGTTAGAAAAATAGGGATCCAGCCTCATGTAAGTAGTTTTGGACCAAGTAAAGACCATGGGCCTTAATCTTTCATTTTACACAGAGCCCTAGCTACTTAATAAAAAAGAGGTAGGGTTGTTTTAAGGGTGTGTCGAAAACCAAGTAGAAAAACAAAAAAAAGCCAAAAAAAGTAGAGAAAAAAAGAGAAGGGAGAGTTGGTTGAATGGAAGTCGATCCGTGATCCGATTGAGTTGGAACCTTGTCATGAGGTTTATGATTCAGAGTTCTACATTTTGAACGGTGAAGATCAGGTTTGAAGCTCTCTAGGAACAAATTCAGAGTGTATTTGTTGAGTCATTTATTTGATGAGATTTCTCCAATTGTTTCTCTAGTTGTTGATTAGCTCTAGTTTTAGCTAGAGAAGAACTTTATATACCTATTATTTGATAGTGAAGATTTTTTTGGTAGTCTGTAGTTTTTTCCCTCTACACTTGAAGGTTTTTCACGTAAATCTTGATGTGCTTTATTTTTCCTGTATTTTTTTATTATTGATTGTTTATTGCTTCTGTATTATTGTGATTATTGCTTCAGGTGCAACAAAACCTCCATAGTTAGCCAAGATACATTTTGTTTTTCATATCTCTCTCCTCAAAGAATGCCATGGACAACCTTCATTTATTTCATGCCCATTACTAAATGATGCCATTAGCGGTCAATCCGTTCTCGAACCTGACAAGATCTTTCAAACCAAACATGTTCAACACAATGATCGATTTCTCAAATAACTGCTCGTACAGTGAAAAAATCTACCACATGCTAAAGCCTTCTAAGAGTGGAAATAGGATATAGCCTTATAGTATCATCATTTCAACCTTGAGGACAAGGTTGCTGCTAGAGGAAGGAGCAATGATAAAAACCAACCAGGAATTATGGAAGTTATTTGCCATCCCAAGATCATGGCGCAAGTCATATCATGAAAGCATTCAGCTGGACTAAAGATTTTGTCAAGGGATGAGAATAGAATCTGTTATGATGCATGTAATTCCTTACTAGCTGATGAATTATTACAAAACAGTTATTGTACACCTGGCAATAGCTATATAACCTGCCCTGAAATGAAAGAAGACTATAGAAAAATTCTCAATCATTTTCTTTGACTCATATCTCTCCTTCTTTCTATCTCTTTTTCTCCCTCTTTTCTCTAGTCTCCTTTCTAAGTTTTGTGAGTATGTATCAAAAGTAGAATATATTAGCTATTTTGTTGTGGACGCTTTTTTGTTTTTGACATGTATACAACTTTAGTATGCAGAGATTGAATATGACACCACAAACCTAAAAAATCAAAAACCTATATATTATAATATATAGTAGAAAGATTCCATTTATGCCTTTTACTATTGTATGTTGAATTAGTCTAAAAGCTATGCACAACTTAGATTTTTTTAACTTTTTTGGAAAATTAATTTAATTAGTTATTACTTAATCATGATATTTTAATGATAATCTCTATAGAACATTTTTACATGCGTATTCATAAATTTGTTCATAAATTCATTAATAGAATGCAATGCATTTTTAATTAATTATTCAATTAATGCATCCTTTTATTTTTATAATATATCATATATATATAAATTATCTTGATAATGAAAGTATTTTTTTTACACTCTAATATGTAATTTTTTTTAAATATATGTGTCGACATAAAAGGACATGTGTCATCATCTTAATTTTGTTCGTGGAATTAAAAAAAAATCTATTGTCAATCTATTTCATAACTAAACTATAACATGTGCAATGCATGAAATAATTTTACTTATTTAATATGAATATATATATACACACACATAAATTAGTTTTTTTTTTTCAAATTATATTCAAATCTTTAAAACTCATAACATATATTAAATTTATATCTATTGACTTGTCATTAAAAAATAAACTTTTTGAAAACAATAAGAAAAAATTTATGTCTTTCTTTTGGATATTTTTGTTTATAATAATATTCATACATCTATAAGATTATATCAAATAAAAATAAATTATGTCTTTATTAAAAAAATAAAAATATATATTATTGAATGATAAATTAAATAATAAAATAAGTATTAACATATTTTCATTTTATTAACATTGACTAAATTATTATGCAAACAATGAAAAGTATTAGAGAATATGTAAAAAAATAAATTGAAAAAATATTATTTTTCAAAAGAATGAAATTGTAATAACAATAAAATATATATTGGAAAAAAGTTATAAACAACAAAAAAAAATTGCAATAGTAATAGAATATACCTTGAAAAAAAGTTATTGAAAAAATAAAAAATTGATGCATAACACATTATATTTGTAGTCTTAAATTTGTAAAAGAATTCTTTAGTGACAATTAAAATTAAATAGATAATTTTTAAATTAAGTTTTTAAATTTTAAAATGGATATAATAAGTGATAGAGATAATGTTAAATTTTTTGTATTGATTTGAACTATAAATTTGATAATTAGAGTTTAAATGGATATAATCATTTTGATGATATTATTATTCAAAAATTTAAGATGAAAATTTTTTAAAATTTCAAAATCTTAGGTAAAGTTGCTTGAAATTTTAATGTCCTGTGTAAATTTTTTAAAAAAGATAATTTTTTAAATCAAGATAAAGAAGATTGGTAAAAATTTTGGATAAACTTAATCTTTATAATTTTTAAACATATTTAAAAGATTTTGATAATTAAATAATTTTTTAAATAAAGTTATTTGGTAAACAACTAAAATTATTTATTAAAAAAATCCATATTTCATATTTTTTATTTTAAAAAATATATCTATAAATTGATTTAATTTTTAATTATAATTTAAATAATTTTGATATTTGAATAAATTTAAAATTATCTAATTTGTAATTAAAAAAACAATCTTATTTTTTTAAAATATATCTTATATGTCATTTAAGAGAATTGTTCACAAAAGCACCTATGTGATAAATTTGTTTATGTATATTATTTTATAATATATATATTGTATTTCTCTCTCTTTCTCATATATATATATATAATATGTCACATTAGCTACACAAAGATATATGCTCTTTAACATTTATAATTTTTTTTATTTATACCTTATATATGAAAATAATTTTAAGGATGTTTGCAATTGACATTTGTACAAGCGTTTTAGTTAATGAACTTTGAGGTTAGATTATTGTATTTGTAGTCCTGGCGGCCTCAAGTATGAATTTGTTGGGCTTTGAAAGCGTTTGTGTTATAACCCACTGAATATGAGAGATTATTTAATTAGTTTTTATTAAATTTTGATTAAGATGGGATATTTTATTAAAAATTTTGCGATCGTGAGTGAATGGAAATAGATTAAAGGTAAAATTATAAAAAAATTTGTTAATTTAAGTGGAATGATTATTTTTGTCTCGCATCTATAAAGATTAAATTTAAAGGAAATGAAAAAGTGTAAATTCATTTATTTTTCCTTTTTTATTCAGAAAAACGGTTAAAATTGCTTAAGCAATACAAGCCTTAAGCCTTGGAACTCCTAAATCTTTCTGTATCAATTTTACTAAAGCAACCAGCTCGTTTTATAAATAATTTATGTTGGTTACTGGTCGGTAATAGCAAATTAATAATATTACCTATTTACCCTAATTATATAATTTATATTACCCTAAACCTAAACCTTTGCAAATTCCAAGTTTCTAACTCACCCACGCAGACAACTCCTCATTTTCTCTAATTCTCTGAATCTCACTCACACAATTCACCTAACCGGCCTTGCTCACTCATCCACTGACTGAATACCTCACTCAAGCCGCCTGTACTTCCTTTCTCTCACTCTGTCGGCCGCCACTGGTCCTTCCTTTCTCTCACTGCTTTCTGTCGCTGTCGGTCCTTCCTTCCTCGTCTCATCTTGCCATAGCCGCTCTTCCTCATCTGATAATTCTTTTGTATGTTTCCTGACTACTGTTAATGTATGATATATCTGAACAAATATGCTCTTGTTGTGTTAATAAAATCATTTGCGTTCGTATTGAACCAAATCTGATGTAACTCTTTCTCAAATTCTGCTAGCAGTGAGGTTTGTGTTATTGCAGTAGTTAGATACTCTTAAATAAATTGAATTTATGAAACCATATCATCGTCCTTAATAAACCTTAGTAATTCTGCTTGTCTGGCAATCTTTCTTTTCTTCAAGCTTTTAAAAAAAAATATATAAATTTTCAAAAGCATTTCTTCTTGTCTTTGTTACTCACTAAAACACCTATCAGAAGATTAGAGAAAGGGGAATAAAGAGGAATTTCCTTTCATTATTAATAATAACGAAATCTTAGTAATTCTACTTGTCTGGCAAGGCATATTTGCGACTATACCCTATTTATTAATTTTTCTTTCACGATAGTTTTAATTAGTAGCACAATGACTACTCTTTTGTTACTGCCTCCCCAGTTTTTATGAAATAAATTTGTTACTCTTGAGTTCCCCAATTGTTCTAATTGTATGATTGTTTAAATTTGTTTAGTTATGGTTCGTTTATATATTCATGGATATGTTTGTTTAAATATTTTTGAATATTTTAAATGACTTAAATGAGCTGATCTCAAACCGATTTTGAACATCCTAATATCTAAATGAACTAAGCTCGAACATAGTGTAAAATTTTTTTTGCTGAACATGAACTAAGCCCTAACAACAATAAAATTAAACAAACATAGCAAAGTTCATTTATGTTCAGTTCATTTACACTCCTAAGCTTGATCTCTACTCAGGCAGAAGCCAAAAAAAAAAAAAAAAATGGCTTCGATGCAACATTTGGGACGAACCAAGAATGTGATGAGAAGGTCAAAGAAGTACTTAGAAGAAGCACTTTACCACAGGCTTTTTAAGGAAGGCAGCTCGGAAATTAGTGTGCGGCAGCAGCTGAATCATTTCCTCAAGGGCTCCAAGCGTGTGTACAAATGGGAAGTTGATGACACTCTTAAGATGCTTCGCAGCCGTAAGCTCTATTACCCTGCTCTCAAGGTTCGTATTCTGTATTAGATCAAAGCTCTTATTAGGGGTTTTATGCGAATTTTCTTTTATGTTACTTTAATGGATATGAAGCATTGTTAATTTTGGTAGTGACGTGATGGGAATCTTGGCTCTTTTTATTTCAGTAATTTTATTCATTTGACTTTTGGTTAATTGGTATAGTTACTTATTATGTTAGAATTGGGTGATTTTTAGAAAGTAATTTTAACTTTTCAAGTGTAAAAACAACTTAAAAGTGCAGAAGTGTGTTAAGACAGATAATGTACATGATCACATGTCGGAATTCTGCTTGCGGCTTTCTTCCTCTTGTAATTGATAGTCTTTTTGTTTTTCATTTCATTAGCTTTTAGCTATAGCGGCTCAGTTTGTTTTTAGAAGTAAACATGTCCTAGCATGTGGAGATGGTGTTCAATTTGCATACAGTTGTTGCTAATACTTGGTCCAGATTGTGCTTGTGAATGTATTTTTCTCTGTTTGATTTTCTAAGTACTAAATCAAAATGGATTATGCATATAATTATGTTTGACTTCGCAGCTCTCTGAAACGATGGTGACTAAGCGGGGCATTAATAAGACAGTTAGCGATCAGGCTATTCATCTTGATTTGATTGCCAAAGTTCGAGGGATTCCTGCTGCAGAAAATTACTTCATTGATCTTCCTGAAGCATCAAAGAACCATCTCACTTATGGTTCTCTTCTCAACTGTTACTGTAAGGAATTGATGACTGAAAAAGCAGAAGCTCTAATGGAAAAGATGAAGGAACTTAACCTTCCTTTAGGTTCCATGTCTTATAACAGTTTAATGACTCTTTACACAAAGATTGGTCAGCCAGAAAGGGTACCAGACATCATACAGGAAATGAAATCATGTGGTGCCATGCCAGATTCATACACATACAATGTTTGGATGAGGGCTTTAGCTTCTATGAATGATATTTCTGGGGTTGAAAGAGTTATTGAGGAAATGAAGAGAGATGCCGAAGATGCTGATGATTGGACAACATATAGCAATATGGCATCAGTTTATGTTGATGCTGGCTTGTTTGAGAAGGCAGAAAAAGCACTTAAGGAATTGGAAAAGAGAAATGCCCACAGAGATCTTTCTGGTTTCCAGTTTCTAATTACATTGTATGGCCGAGTGGGGAATTTGCATGAAGTTTATCGAATATGGCGTTCATTGAGGCTGGCTTTTCACAAAACAGCCAATATAAGCTATCTGAATATGATTCAGGTGCTAGTTAGCTTGAAAGATTTACCAGGAGCAGAGAAATGCTTTAAAGAATGGGAATCGGGTTGCTCTACTTATGATATTCGGATTGCAAATGTCTTAATGGGAGCTTATGCTAAGGAGGGTTTGCTAGAAAAAGCTCTAGAGCTCAAGGACAGGGCCTGCAGGAGAGGGGCAAAGCCTAACGCCAAAACTTGGGAGATCTTTTTGGATTATTATTTGAAAAACATGGACATCAGGCTGGCTGTTGATTGTGTGGCCAATGCAATTTCTATTGGCAGAGGAGATGGTGGAAAGTGGGTCCCATCATCTGAAACGATTGGGATAGTGATGAGGCATTTTGAGCAAGAGAAAGATGTTGACGGGGCTGAAGGTTTTGTGGAGATTTTAAAGAAAGCTGTGGATTGTGTAGGAGAGGAAGTGTTTGAATCATTGATCAGAACTTATGCAGCCGCTAGAGTGACAAGTCCTTGGATGCGTCACCGTTTAAAGATGGAAAAGGTGGAAGTGAGTGAGGCGAGTAAGAAATTACTCGAGGTGATTACCATGGAGTGAGTTTTCTCAATTTTATTGTTCTGTAATTCCAATTCCGGTACAAGTGATTCTGAATAGCTTTAATTATCTGTTTTTTTTTTAATAAAATGCAATTGGTAATTATCATGTTGAACCGATAGATAGTAATATAGTATGGTCCATCCAAGTATAGTATGGTCCATCCAAGAATGATCCTTTCATTTAGATTTTTTGTTTTGTTTGAGAAAATATGTGTTCATTCATATGTTATGAGATACTATCTCTTTGTTCATCTCTTTAGTTATATGCAGAGCTGCACATAGGCTGGGATGGGTCAAGTTCGAGCTGGAATTAACGTGATATTCCAGCATTTTAAGCAAAGTTCAGGCTCAATCCGATCCGATTTTTCAGGTTTTATTTTTTGCCAAGTCTTGCCCAAAATATTAGTATTTAAAATTAAAAAAATAATAATAATTTTATTATTTTTTTGGTAAATTATGAATTTAATTAATTTTAATTAAATTTATAAGTAATTTGGGTTTGAATTTAATTTAATTTATTGAATGCAATTTAAAATTTGATCATTGTTTTGATGTTTTACATAAAGAAAAAATTAAGTTTTATCTTATTATAAATAATAAGGTGAATGGACTTTTATCAATTATAAAAAATTAAATAAATGGATTTTATCTCATTATAATAAAAATAATTTTCAGGTTGGGTCTGGGCTTTAAAGGGTGAAATTCAAGTTTGATCTTATGTATTAATCAGATCTCATTTATTTGTTTAGGCTCTTTTAACATATTTAATATTTTTGTTCAAGTCTTTTAAAATTTCAGAAGGATTTTTGAGTTTAGTTGAATCACCTGGCTCATGCGCAAGTCTAGTTACAGTTTATATCAGATTTTTGGGTTCACTATGGCTGCATGCAGTGGAGTTGTAATAAGTTGTAATGGATTAGGAGACCATATAGAGTACTTTCTTGCAATGTTTTTTTGGGCAATTAGGATCAGTTATATGCATCCTGCTAAATGCTACTGCCAACAAGGATGCATTTCAAGTCGCGGTTCTACACATCTGCAACACTCTCATGGTGTTTGCATCCTTTCACCACTGTCTCAAAGGTTAAAAGCACAGACTACTGGCTAGATCATCCCTAGATTTCAAGGAATAATTAAGGGTGTGATGATGGAGCTGTGACGGCTGTCTGAGCCCAAGGTTAAGGGTGTGATGATGGAGCTGTGACGGCTGTCTGAGCCCAAGGTTAAGTTCTCTGGCAGGGCCTTCTGTTAAATGCATGACTCTCAAAATGGTTGTGCCTCAATGATGTCCTATGTAGCAGTTTTCCACTTTTTATTTCTCATAAAGTCCATTACATTGAGCTTTTCTCTTTGGCTTTAAATACTAAGATTTTATAATCCATGACCTGAGAGTTCACTTCATGCTCAGTGAAAATGGATAAAATTAATTGACGCAATAACACTGCATGCAAATGTTTTGCAGCCAATTAGTGCGTCTATTTGCACTCCTAAAAGGCCATAACCGACAGTAGAAGTTTGTATTGGTCCCTTAAATGAAGCAAGGGGAGTCTTAAAGCTGCCATGTCGTCTTGTCTAAAAAAATCTAAAGCCCTAATTGGATTGTACCAGAAAGTGGGATAAGTTCTTATATTCTGGTTGGTAGGTTCGAGAAGGTTTTGGGCCCATATCTGCAATGACGCCCATTTTTATCTTGGACCACCAAAAGGACAGCTAGAAAGCTGAAGCTTCCTTAGAATCTTAATCATCTAGTGGATTAGAAAAGTGTTTCAAATCACCCTCTAAATGACCTTTTTCAACTTTCCAACCATCTTGAGCATTTTGCTTTAGCTCCGTGAAATAATGGGATGGGGTTAAAGCGGCATTTTCAGATCATCAAATTGAAAGGTCAAGATATCAGGCAAACAGAGATGCATGCTTTTTGACACGTTCAGAAACATTGTTTTTCCTATTTTTCTCCGGTCGTTGCCAAGGTAAGCCCCGTGGTCCAATTGGCTTGCCCTGTTCGACAGAGATCGTAAAGATTGGGGGACAGAATACTAATTCGAGTCACGAGTCAGTTTCAAGTTTCTATATTACATCTCCATTCTATGGTTGCCTTTGTCCTTTTATTCTCTCACGCCCATTACATCAAATACACTAATCTAGCATTTGCGTGAACGATGGTACAATATCATTCCAATTATTCTAATTCTTAGGCGGCCGTTTAATTGAAAACAGTAGCACCTTGCGGCTTATAAAACAGTCACTGTCAATATTGGTGACCGTTTGGTCAAGCTTAATAAAAGTGGAAGCACGTAGCAGCTACTTCTGGCTTTGCGGTCGGTCCATGCTCTCCTTTTGGATTCCTATGTTATGTATTTTGCTTATGGTTCAAGAAAAGTTAGCACTTCTAAATGCTTGTATTATTACCTTTTTAAAAAAGGAGGTCGACCGGAATAAAAAAAAAAAAATTTGCATATATTTAAATTTAAAATTTAAATTTATTAAATATTATTTTTAATAAATAATTATATAAATTAATTGAACTAAATTTTAATTTTAAGGATCTCTAACTTTGCATCTAAATAAAATTATATCTTTGTCTAGAGCATGATTCCTTACTGCTTTAAATGGGCACAGCTTTTTTTTTTCTTCTGTCCATTTCTACATCATTCACATATATAAACATAAGCTATAAAGTTTTGTTAGCGTTAAACGTGTTAGGAAAAAATCACTTTAAGCAATTTTTGAAAGAAAAAGATTGATCATCTCGAGGTGATTACCTGAACCTGAAACATTGGTCAAGGAAAATGCATGTTGATGCTTAATGCATCTAATTAAGACAGTGGTTAGATCTCCAGACATTTGAGTGGTTTCTAATTTCTCTATTTAATCATTTAGTTGCCAATGTTGAAAATGGAATGCCGGTTTTTCTTTTTAAACCTTTGCATTCTTGAAAATCTTCCCCACAAGACAGGGACAACAAAAAGGAAAAAGAAGAATCACAATCACATGACATATCGTATTGACCATATTCCATCATTTTTTCACATTTACATAAAGTCCCTGAAGGTGGTAGAAGTAATGGACACCTGTTAGGTGAACAAAAAAAAAAAAAGAAAAACAGAAAAAATTGAATTAACAAGGAAAATAATAATTATAAGAATAACCCAAAGGCCCAACTTAATGATCAATGATCCCCTGAAGAAACAAGTATTAAAGAAAAAAACTATATATATTTTAAAAAAAAGAAAGAGAGAAAAAATTCCACCCTATACCTTTCCCTTTTAGGGACACCTCACATTCCTTCCAGGACCTCCATAGTAAAAATAATTTCCCCAAACTCTATTAATTCCTCCTTGAATATCATAGCAGTTTGGATGATCTGCCAGGACCTGAAGATTTGGTAATGGGATTAAGTTGTTATCCCAATCAACAACTTGCAAATTTCGAAAATAGGAGGCCTTTCCAAAGCCTTCCCTAGCAAAATGACCACTCCCCATTTCTGTTGAGGTGTGAAAACCTCCTGGACTTGAATTCACAATTTCTCCACCAAATTGTACCATGCTTGCGTGATCCCTTAGGTGACTAAACAAAAATGATGGCCAGTATCCTACCAGAATCCCTGATCCGAATTCGAGCCACCAATCTCCTTTCTTTGGATCCTACACCAAATATAGTATTTAAATGCGTTAATTAAATTTGAGTCTGATATTTATAGATACTGATTAAAAATAATTAAATTAATATTTTGGGAAAGATTTTTAAATTTAATTCATTGTTTTTACTAAATTCAAGAGAAAACAATATATTAATTGTATTTTTCTTTAAATATTACCTTGAAGGTACCATTAAACAATGGTTATCCTTTTCTTTCAAAATTTGCTCATTTTAGCAATTGTTAAGGATGTTGTATCAATTGCAATACTTGTTGAGTTACTTAGAATGTTAAAGTTAAAAGGTAATGAAAGGGAAGTTTCATGGTAAATTCAATGATTCTCTTCTCCACAAAATTGATTGTGAAATTATCCAAAAAAAAAAAAATGAAAAGAAAATAAAACAGGATAAAAATGAAAAAAGTTGAGGGGTCAGGGCACCAACAAGCTATTTTACTTGGAAAAGAATAGAATCTTGCAAAGCAAAAAAGCCGCAAGGGATTGCAGGCATTTCTTGGGGTTAACAGTGCACGCGAGGAAGTAGTGCATGAATAGAGATAGCCACGAATAAAGTTTTACATATGAGATTGTTTGTTGCCAAAGGCAATTTTATGGTGCTTATTACTTATACTATATAATTTGTGAAATCACCAGCAAAAACAGTGATCTTTTCATAACCACATTTGTTATTTTATAAGTCATTTTTTAATTTTTTTTTTTTATCTTTTCAATAAAAGAGATTCTTATCAACAATCACGATCAAGTAACGACTCTTAATTATAATGATCAACAATCAAATTTCGATAATTAATAGCAAAAAGGTTAAACTTTTTTTAGTTCAAGAACAGTAGCCGGATGGGATGGTCCAGAGTTTAGGGGCACCTACGACCAAATCTCTAGGAAGCAAAATCACAATGCACGTGTGTTGCATAGATATTGAACTCAAGCTTAACTTTACCTTCCAAACCAAGAGGCTAATATCAAATTGTCCGCCGTTGTATGATGATGTTGGGGAGATTGCAGCTCCAATTGCAATTCTATTATTAGTTTGAACAAATCCTGAGCACAGCAAATTATAGCAGCCAGTTGCTTGGTATGCGTCGGTCTGCAAAAATAACTCATGCTTAATCATTAACCATGAAACTTAAAACATGATTTATCTTATGCTTTAAGTTATAGCTTAATAAAACAAAGAAAAGAGGAAGTTAAATTGTTTCTGAATTGTTTTAGTACACTTACTGTCCAGTAAGTAAAGAATCTAGGATAATTGTCCCCGTATAGATCTGGACTGACCTGCATAAAAAAAAAAAATAAATTGAATGAGATTTTTTTATAGAAGTCATAATTATAGTTAAAAACATTATAAATGTTGATATTTTAATTTCAAATATGTTAAATTTTTTTATAAAATAATTATACAAATAAGTGAATAAAATTCAATGTGCATAAAATTCTTGTCAACTATAATTAATGAAACATTAACAAAATCCTGTTATATAAATTTTTGGTTAAAAATAAATAAATTTGCTAACGATTTAGTATTGAAGATATGTTAATGAAAATGCCAAAACTAGTTTTACATGCCTGCCAGCCAGCTTCAACGGTGTTG